GGGCGCGGCGCGGCTCCCAGCAAGGGGCCAGAGTGTCCGCGGCCGCTCGCCACGCGCGCTCGCAGGAGGCCGCGGGGTCGCGCCGCTGAGCGCCTGCGGCTGCCGGGGCGCCGCTCACAGCGAGCCGCGGTGCAAAACGCCCGGGGTCGGGGATGCCAGCCGCACGCAGCCTGCACGCAGAGCCCAGGACTTGCGGAGCTGCGCTCCCCTCCTCCCGCCTCCTCTGCTCCCTCCTTCCCTCCCTCCCTCCGCTTTTCTGTTGTTGCTGCGGTAGCAGACAAATGTGATGTGGGGCGCAGGGAATTGCCACTGTCACAGGCGGCGTCTGCGTCGGCCTCGCCCGCCCTCGCTCACTCTCGAGGAAGGCGACGCATTTATCTGCAGGGCGGCCGGGCGTCCGCCGGGGAGCAGGAGCGCCGCGCGCTGTGCGCAGAGAGCGCCCGCGCCAGGCTGGCTCCGCGCGCGCCCGCTACCAGGTGCAGGGGGGAGGGCGCGCGGCGGGGCGGGGGGTGGCGGAGGTGGGAGACATCTGTGCGGTGCGGGGGTCACGGAGGTCAAGTATATGTTAACAATAGGCAGGCCCGGCTCGCCGGGGCGCGCGGGCGGGCGGCCTCCCTCCCGGCCTCGCCCTCTCCTCGCAGACTGGACCCGGGCCGGCTCCCTAATGATGCCTTCCCCGGCCGCCGGCGCTCCGGCCGCCCGAGTGCCCTGCAGTAACCCAAGACGACCACTTTCCCCGGCCATCTGGAGCGCGCCTGCCTGTGTCTCGTCACTGGCTGGAGAGACAGCTCTGCTAGGAATCAAGCCACTCTCAGATCTCCTCTCTAATCCCCTTCTGTTAGCTCATTTCCAGACTGACTATTTGCTTTCGCATTAGATAATAGCCTTAGAGAAAACAATTATCATTTTCTCTTTTTCCCCTTTGTTTTTCTACTTCTCCCGTAGTATGCCATTAATAGGGACCTTTTTGCGTGTCTTAGGGCTTTCACTGGATGTGTCCCCCTCCCCCAGACATTAATATCAATACTTTGGAGGAAGGGAGGGAGTCCCAAGAGGAAAAGATAGGGTGAAAGAATTCCAGATATTTCCAGAATAAATAAATAATATCTCAGCGAAGAGAGCTGACAGTTTGCACAGAGAGAAAAAAAGATGAAGGGGGGGGGCTTCAATGGTAATGAAAATATAAATATGTAGGTCAAATATGATCAGATAATGGCTTGCAATGATAAGCAAAATGAAATCTTTTTAAATTATTATGGACCGGTGCCATGACTGCAAATGTTATTGTATTTAGTGGAACAATTTGAAATCCTTCTCTGAACCATGTTTTTTCCAGCCTCCCTAAATCAATGCAAAATGTCCTGTGTGCACGTTTTTAAAGTACATCTTTAGAAAGGAAAAAAAAAAAATACACAAGAGTCAGTGTCTGTCTGATGCACTAAGAACTGATGAGGCATTCATGGTTTTATTTTTTGAGGTGGTGTTTCAAATATTTAATAGTGAGTAAAATCCCTTCCCCCATCCTTTTAAATCCAGCTGGAGCTTCCAATTCCAAGTCTTTACAGACTGTACTAATTTTTAGCAATTCATTTCCAGAAAACACTCATTGTACATTCTGCCCTCTCCTTGGGACATTTGTCTAATGAATTATAATAGATTAATGAACTGAAATGTTAAGTCTTGGTATTTGATATTATGATGCTTTAATCTGAGTCATCAGCTTTATCATAGTGTTCATTCTATAGCAATTTCTGCATTAACTTTATTTTTGCTAAGCCAAGTAGCATTAATAGTCTTAAGATATAAACTTTTATGTTATTTCTACTACTATAACTTGGAAATTGTGTCAAAGTACAGTTCTTAAAAGAATAAAAAGTATGTTGGTAATTTATTATTCCATTACCTGTATTGTCTCTTCTGAGCCCCAAGTTGAAGATGAATAATTTGGAATCTGGAATTATCTACTCATCCTTGTTGGAAAATTAATAAAATTGCATGTGATTAGGAGTGATTTTTGTCGAATAGTATTGATTCTGAAATCATATTTTAAAATTTAGAATTGAAGTTCACCAAAAATAAGATGTATTATGTATAAAAGTAGGGGAAGATAAAACATACATATTATGCCATATTTTTCTTCTTCCTGGAAATTGTGCCAATGTAAGTGTGAAATTATAATGGAAATTTTAAACTTCTAAATCAATGGAAAGTAAATTGCAGGAAACCAAAATGGAGTTTTACACATTCAGCCTATACTCACACTAAGGCATATTTTACAAGATTCTACCAATTTTCTGAGATCTTCCTTTTGCCAATCATACTTCTGGAAAAAATGATAGCTAGTTGTTTACTTATATTTCTGTTTAGAAAGTTTTGCATTTGGCTTTCTATCAGAATGTATCATGAAATCAATTAATCTTTTAAAATTTGTAATAGTAGCAACTGAAGAGCACACACCGTCAAGCTTATATGAAAAGAATGACTCGAATTATTCATAAATCCCATTTGCCACTCTTTTGAAAGGGCTGTATTCTACAAAATGTAGATCCTACCTAGTTTTTGTGGGCTTTACCTTCATATGATCTCCCAGCTCCTTTATTTGGAGGAAAGAATAACTGTAGGGGTCAACACAAGCATGAGACGATTCTTGGATTGAAAAACTTAGGAAAATAAAACATTAACTGAACAGAGAGAAGTTTGCTGATGCTATGCCGTGAGAGGGGGTGAGTTACCTGGAAACAGTACAAGTCCGTGAGCTATTTGGTTACCTTAGCCTTGGGGTGAAGCACACATAGGACGGAAGAGTCCAAACACAATCCGCTATTAATTGATATGTTCTTTTAGCCACTCTGAGGAGATAGGGATGAATGAGTTTCCTGTCTGTACACTCACAGCAGAGGTCAGGTTTCTGTACCTTTAAGACTAGTTTGCTAAGTATAAGAGGGAGGAAACTTAAAAAAGAATGTTTAGAAAGGTAGGCACTCATTCACTCTAAGGAAACCATTAAAATTAAAAACAATAAATACACAATAAGGTGTTAAACTGTATAAACTCTTTCTTGACAATTTTCTTCTTCTCACACCTTAGATTTTTTCCTCACATCATTAAATTTTCATTATTGTAAGACACCAAGTTCTTTCAATTTACAGGTTTAATTTTTTCAGTAATGCTGCCTAAGGATGCTTTTTTGTTTTCCCTTAAACCAGCTCTTAAAAAATAAGAGCAAAGCTTTCATACAAATTTCAAATGAGTGCTTGTTACCTTCTTTAGAGATATGATTCACCTCTCACAAAAAGGAATTCCTCCACAAAATGTTAACAAGGATTTAATTAGTACATTTAAATTTTCTTCTTATAGATCTTAAAGTTTAAATGACTCCCAAGCCGTGATTTTCTATCCCTTGAAAAAGTCCTCCTGTTTGCCTAGGTGGAGGAAAATCTTTAATTACCACATTACTTCTAACAAAAATTATTATTGTATTTGAGAAACATAGAACATGATAAACATAAAAGAATGGCAAGCCATAATTAAGTTTTCATAAATTTAGACTTGCCCATTATTTGTATTTTTTTCCCTGTTACTGTATAATTTTATGTAATTTTTTGAACATTGCATGAACATATTTTTATGCCAAACCTTTCCAATTTTGTTTATTTGACTTGGTTAATGTTTCATATTAACAGTGAACGTGAACCAAAAAGAAAATAATAACTTCAAGAGATCTTTTGTTCTGTAACAGTTGAGGCACATATCTTTAGTACACTTCAGTGTACACTCTTTGGAGAGTTTTGCCTAAAAAATCTTGAAAAATAAAACATGTATAAGTTAAACTAAAAATGTCTCTCCTTATCCTCTCAAATAAAATGATCAGCGTAATATGCTTTAGCTATAAATCTCTAGATAGCATTTTGTATGTATGACTCTGTGTGTTCACATAGTCACGTATGTTTTTCTGTACTACTTCAAAATCAGTTTGCATTCAAAAAAGGCAAAGTTAAAAAATTTCGATTGCTTCTTTAATTTACAGAAAGAAAATTAATTCTGGAAAGTTTTAAAAAATAATTCACATTGAAGTGCCTTCCAGAAATGTCGGTTACTCTTTAAACGTCTAAGTACTTATATTTGCCAGCATTTAACACATTAAACTCTGCAAGAATAAATTTCTTGTGCAAAATAAAACTCTTGCATATTTGCTAAACATGTATAAGTGTGCAAGAATAGGTAATCGAGTAATTTTCTGACCTGACCTTTTATAATTAATTCATGACAAATTATGATTCCAAATGTATGTTATTCATGTTTCTCACTTAAATGAAGCATTTCTCACCCATTTTGGTAAGTTGATTTTTTTTTTTTTTTCTTTTAGTGCAGGGTCTGCAGGGTATACAGGGTCTCACTACACAGATCAGACTAGCAGTGATTCTCCAGTTTTCAGCTTCCCCAGCGCTGGGATTACAGGCACGTACCACCACGCCCAGGTTCAGTAAGTTGATTTTTAAAGTACAAAAACAGGAATAAAATTATATAACACCCCACACTGCAGATCCATATTCCACATTTTTTTGATTGAACATACCCAGAAGAAGAAGCTGTTTATCTTTTGTTGTATTTTTTCAACTGAGGGTTATTCTGTCTATGCAATTTCTAGGTGTGTATGACTGTGTTATAACGGTGAAAAGATAAGCATCTTTGTGTTGCTCCCTGTACAGGGACTGGCACAAATTATGTGCTCAATAAATATTTGTTGAATGATAACTAAAAAGCACGTTAAAATGTTTACACTTAGCTGCATTGTCTACATGAGTAAAAATACCACCCAACTGACTTCTTTCTGACTGAAGTGTTAAGAAACCTAAGATTTTGACATTACCAAGATTTTATAGGATAAACACATGGAGAAAGAGTTCTCTGTGTTGCTTATGTGTGTGTTTATATTTTCCGATATGTGATGAATTTGGTGTGAAAAGCATTCTGATTGTTTTTGTTTTAAGTGTGCATAAAATTCCTTTAGATTATACAATGAACCACATTTTTTCCCTGAAAAGTTAATTTACTTTCTACAGTAAGGTAGAAGCTTTTTTAGATAGCAAGAAAAGGAACTTCAGTTCAGGGAACTCTCAGACTTAATAATTCTTTCCTTCTCCTCTTCAGTACAGTGGTGAAACGTGCATTCTTTAGGACGTACACCCATATACAGGAAAAATCCACAAGCTTCTTAATTCGGGGCATGCTCTTGTTTTTCCATTTAATTACAATATCATTGAGAGTTTATGGACTTTAGACTTTTTTTTTTTTAATTTTAGGGAAGGGTCTACAGGGTGTTCAGGGTCTCACTGCTAGATCAGACTCCTAGTGATCTGCTGTTTACAGCCTCCCAAGACCTGGGATTACAGGCGTGCACCACCACGCCCAGTCTCAATTGCAGTCTCAGAGCACCCCAGGGGTGGGTCCGTCACGGCAGGCCCGGGGATCAAACCCCAGACCCCTGTGACTGCTTGCAGGCGCTTTAACGTGCTGAGCTATTTGGCTGGCGCTAGGCTTTCTAAATAGTGTTTATACCTAGCAAGGAGTCATTTTTATTTGCAAATGTATGCCTTGGTCATTATGCAGGATCAGTATCTATGGCTACATTAAATTTACTCCTCATGCTACAGTATTTTAATCATCTCATTTGTCCTAATTCCTTATGAATATCAGTGTACTCCACGGAATCCCACATCATCGTGGGGATCATCCTGCCCCCGTAAGACGCCCCTTCTGGGGAGGAAGACAGCAGCCAATTGACTCACGGCACCACAGTAGGATGAGGAGAAATTTTGGACCAGCAAATATAGACTGCTGTTAATCATGTTCAGTTTGAAGTTCTTTTGCCCAGTTCTTCCTTTCTTACGTTAATTTGTCTCAATACGCTCGCCAACCGATGAGTCATCTGATTGTCGCTCTGGACAACAACACAGAAAGATGTGTCCACCATCCGGGTACAACCCAACCCCCCTCCTCAGTGTGTCCCCAAACTCCAGCGGGGCCTTTGAGGAGACCATCTCTTCAGCAGGTCCTCTAGAGTAGGCACCCATAAGACCACAAGAGCAGTGATGTCGGTCACCCGATGTCCTCTACATACCTTACAATTTGGCCCAACTTCCTTGAAGAGAAAAGTCTTCCACAAGTTTTACAAGAACTTGAATTTCAGCTATTTATGTTTTCTGGAAAAATATCACTTATAGGCTAAAATATTTCCCATACCTTCAATTTTTCTCTTGTTTTGACAAACATGTTCTCTATATAATATTTTCACAAGATATACAGTATATGGCATCCAACTGTCTGCACTCTTGATCCATGTTAAACTACATATTCTTTTCAACAGAGTACAAATATATGACCTAAGAACTGTGCATCTCGAACTTTAACAAAGATACACACCTGGGGATTGTGTTAAAATGCAAAACCAGCCAGGCATGGTGGTGCATGCCTGTAATCCCGGCACCCAGGAAGCTGAGATAGGAGGATCACCACAAGTTCGAGGTCAGTCTAGACTACATCGTGAGTTCAAGCCTGGTCTGAACTATGTAGCACAATGTTGTCTCCAAGAAAATAAATAAAATTCAAAACTTGGCTCAAGGTTTGGGTTGGGGCTGAGATTCTACTTTTCTAATGAGCATCTAGAGAACACTAGTGCTGCTGGTCCTCATGGGCAGGCTGCAGAGATTGCTAGGGAGAACTGAGAACCATCCTACCTTCCCAGCCTCTTCGGTACGGAGCTCCAGGGCCACCACTGGCACAGAACCCCTCAATCCTATGTTCCCCAAATGCACAGAAGATCATGCAAAACACTGTACCCTGGCCAGGGAGATAGCTCAGTGGAGGAAACACCTGCTTGGCAAGCTCAAAGACCCAGGTTCGATCTGCTATACCACATGCACTGCCAGCCCTACCACCTGGGCCACTGAGTCTGGGCATGGTGGTGTGTGACTGTAATCCCAGCACTAGGGAGGCTGAAAACAGGAGGAACACTTCGAGTCTGAGCTGCATAGCAAGATCCATACCAGATACATACAATTTTTTTTTATTTAAAGCACCCTGTACCCATGATGGTAGAAAACCACTGCTCACACAGGAATAAAGTTGCTAACGTCCCCACCTGCCATCCAGGCACCTGCAATCAGCAATGGAGGACCATCACCAGCCAACATAAAATAAATACACACAGAGCCATTTATCTGAATGAGACTGGAAGCTCCTCAAAAGCCCAGCCTTGGGTGGGTGATTACTGCAGAATGCTTAGGACCTCTCTGACTTTTCCCGAAGAGTCAGTGATTTCTATCTCTAGCCTGAGCCTTGTGTTTAGGAACATTTGCCATCTGTATTGAGTAACTGGGAAAAGGCCCTGCATACTAATAACGTCAAGGTGTGCTGTGTATTATGACTTCCTCATGCATGACCAGGGGCCACCCCATGCTCCAGTGAGTGGTCAAAGTGTTGAACAGAGGTCATCAGTTGGTGATCGACTATGCCCTGCCACTTATGCAAGTCAGGACTCAACCTCTGGTTGCCTCATTATGAAATTAATTTCAACCTATTGACTAACTGAGAGACCCAAGGGTTTAAAAGTTAATGATAGTTTAAGACTATGAAGAACAGAGAAATTGATATGTATTTTTTCATAAATGCAATCCTGTAAACATTTTCATTTTTAAGTGTGGTGATGCTTGCCTGTAATCCCAGTACATGGGAAGCTAAGGCAAGAAGACTACCACAAGTATAAAATCAGGGATATATGGCAAGCTCAAGCCCAACTGAACCACTAGTGAGACCCTGTCACACACAAAAAAATAGTTTTTCCAAGCACAGTGGCACACGCCTATGACCCCATCACCCAGGAGGCTGAGACATGAGGATTGCCACGAGCTTAAGGCTGGCCTGGCCTACATGAGTTCAAGGTCAACCTGGACTATTCAGTGAAGCTATGTCTCAAAAAATATGTATATATTTTTAAGCAAGCTGTTTGAGTGTCATAGAAGAGACTTGAATATTGAGAGGAAGTCCAGACTAGATTTACTTCTTGATTTTAGTCTTTTGAACAGAAGGGACATCCACTGAAGTCACTTGTGACTGGGAAAAAGCAAAACAGCTCCTGTGATTTCACAGTGGTTCTTATACACTCTCTTTCACCAGCAATTGGATATTTTTTTGTGTAACAAATCTGCCTCATTTTCACCTCATTGCAGACCATAATGGCAAACAATTTATGTTCAGTCTACCAAAATGCCACTTCTTTAGCTTAAAACAAAAAAGTTCCACAGCCAGGAACTCTTAATGTTAGTAACAATTTTTTGCTCTGTGATCCAACTGAATTCACACTTTCCCCACCTCTTGCTACTGTTTCTAATACTGGAGGAGGATTTATATTTTTTTGTGAACAATAGGTTTTAATTAAGAAGATTTATTAAAGACAGTTTTCATTCTTATGATTATATTTTCAGTTCTACAGACATCTGCATTTCAAAATGTGCCACATATTTTCATAAATAACTGCCATTCCCTTAGAGCTTCTTAGCATTGCAATTTCTTCCAACCTCTTTTTAACATCTTCACATTCACTGCATGCGCCACCAGAATTAGACATTTCTGAATGCAGGTAGAAAATAAGATTGTATTAGAAGGCAGATTCTAAACGATTGGGTTCTCCTGGTGAATCAGGACTTTTAGGAGGAACAGAGGCAGATTAAGCCCCATAACACATGTCTAACAAAAGATCTATACCTTACAGGCACACCTACAGTGGCAGGGTAAACAAGGAGGCAGAGTTTACTTTGAAGTTTAAATCATTGTTATTTTAATGGGGTGGAAAATTCATTTAGATAGTAGAACCTGATAGTTACCCAATTAAAGCCCTTTTTGTCTATGTTAATGTAGTTTTATACTTTTAGGTTTTTGAAACCCAGTTTTGTCAGAGACGTATTTGAAGATAACAGCAGCTTGAACAGTGCCTTTGGACGGACCCCATGAATGACAGTCAACGGTTGATCGGATCATTTAAGCATCTTGTGTGACATTGTAGGCCAACACATCAAGCTTGTTCGAGGCGCAGAGAGCAGAAATGCACCCCAGGGAATGCGTGTAGTTCACCTAATACGTGCTTGTATTTGTACATGTGTGAGTATGAATTTTCTATTATGTGTTCTTAATATTTGAATAAAATTATATTTGAACCGGGCCTCACAGCACATACCGATAATCTCAGCTCTTTTTGGCTGAGGCCAAGGGATCACAAGTTTAAGCCCAGCCTCAACAACTCAGAAACCGGGCAAGATGCTGTCTCAAAATTTAAAACAATTTTTTTTTTTTTTTTTTGCGGTGGGGCCTTTTGTTTGTTTGTTTGCTTGTCTGTTGGTCTCACTATGTAGTTCAGGCTGTCCTTGAATTTGTTATGTAGCCGGGGATTGCCTGGAACATACGATGGTGCTCCTGCCTCAGCCTTCTGAATGATAGGATTACAGGCATGCACCACCACACTTGGCTTAAAATAAAAATTTAAATGGATCTGGCATAGTGGTGCGTGCCCATAATCCTTGTACTCAGGAGGCTGAGGCAGGAGGATGGCTGCAAATTCGAGGCCAGCCTGGGCTACAGAGTTAGTTCAAGACTAGCCTGAACTAGGTAGCGAGACCCTGTCTCAAAAAAACCAAACAAGCAAAAAGCCTTAGAAGGGCTGGGGATGTAGTTCAGTGCAAAGGCTCTGGGTTAAATCTACAGTATTGCAAAACACTGTATCTGATCCCTAGTCTCTATCCCATGGGTCTGTCAGGATAACCCATGGGAGGCGAGATCCTATTTGAGAGGACCAAGTATGGGTTCTACCGTGTGTCTGTGAGTCTCAGAAAGGGTGGAAGAGGGCAGTTCATGCCTTCATTCACATGCATGTGGCTCTTGCCTGCATCTCACTGGCCTCTTGAAGCCCACTACGTGTCCCAACCTCTTACTTGCCAATGAGGGGAATGCCCCTCTCACCAGAGTTCCTGCTGGATGCTGGACTCTGTTCTAAGCAGCACTTTCTAATGGCCACCTTGTCTGCTCCTAAAAGCCCAGCTGGAGGGATGGTGCTGTTGTACGCCCAGAAAGCCAAGTCCAGAGCTGGAGGAACTTGCCTGCCTGAGGCTGCGGTTTATAAATGCCATAAGCAGTTCTGCTGGCCTGGAGGTCTGGGTTAGGGTGAGTCTAGGGCCAGTGTCCCCTCCTCTCCTCCCCCCGCAGAATGCAAGTTTCTGGGATTGGAGCTGTAATTACCACTAGTAATCTTGTTTCTCCCTAAACTTCTTAGGGCAAGCGCAAAAGCAGAGAGGCTTAAAGAGGGTCTCCAAACTCAATTCCACTGAGATCTAATTCCAAGAGCAAACCCTTAAGGAATCAAGTGGCAAAGGCCTGCAGCAGTCTGCTAAGTGGAAGTTCTCTCTGTGAGGTCAAAACTTGCCAGGTGTGGTGGCACATGCCTGTAATTCCAGCCATCAGGAGGCCGAGGCAGGAGGAATGCCATGAGTT